AGGGGACTTTTTGGGCCTGCTTTTCCCAAAAGCCTTTTAAAAACAAATGTTTGGGGTGTGAGGGTCCCACAGCAGGAGGAGCTGTGTATTACTCCTGTTTGGTTTATAGAGATGGAGAAAGATAATTCAGTCTGTTTTGGCTGAGGTGAAACCTGATGGCTCAAAAGCAGATGCCACAGTCTTGGAACATTACCTCAGCTCATATCCTGACACTGGAAAATCTGGATAATTTTTGGACTTCCTTGTTTCTCCCCTCACCCCATCAAGCTCCTCTATGTCCAGCCTTTGATACCATCTTTGGACTTGAAAGTCCATCTGTTTCTAATAAAGATATTACCTGCCCTCGTTTTAGGATTTTGCACAAAAACCACATGGTTTTTCCCCCCTCTTCCTTTTATTTTTAATTAGATTTCTTAAAACCCTGAGGGTGGAAGATAACATCTTACCAGATGCATTGCTCTGATTTTCTCTCATGCAGGAAGAGTCGTGCCTCTTCTAACACATTGCTTAATGCAAAACATCTGTCTCTTGTCTAAAAATGCAAAGCAGGCTTAAGCAAAGCATGAGTGGATGGGTAGGGAGCAGACTCCAAAATGATAATTCAAGCGGCGGACTATTGCTATCTCAACCACAGTTTCACAGACCTCTGGTTATAGACGAATGGTTCCTAACCTTGGGTTCCTGGATGTTCTTGGACAATAACTCCCAGAAATCCTGGCCAGCGTAGCTAGTGTTGAAGGCTTCTGGGAATTGCAGTCCAAGAATTTCCGGGGACCCCAGTTAGAGAACCACTGTTAAAATGTTTGTCCTTCTCTGAGCTTAAGCTCATCTACGAAAGCCAGACTCGGGGCTGTTGTGTCAGGATGGGTAAGAAAGTATTCCACATACTTGGGACAGTTTTTCACCACCAAGCAGGTACCCAACTGCGAAAGCAGAACAAAGAGCTAATTTACATCTCAATGAATTGCCCCCAAAAGGTTGCATACCCTAGCCCTGTGCACATTTCTCATGATTTGGAGAGGAAAATAGTCACAGGACACACTTTTTTCTTGGGGAACCTACAGTCTGAAAAACCAGCCTTGACTGGGGCACCAAGTCCTGTAAGTTACATAATCTATACCCCAAATCTAGTGGTACCCCTGTGGTCAGGGCAGAATTTTTCATCCATTGACCAGATGCCAAGGTGGACAGGGTTTCTGCTCCTTGAACAATTGGGCAGAATAAGTCAGTTGCGTAGGTGTTTCTCCTCACGCAACTATCTGGACTAAAGGAGCTACTTGGATGAGTAGTGAAATGTTTCAACCTAATAAGAAAGAAGTCCAGTTGCCAGGACTCAATGCCCAGATAACCTCACCTGGATGACTGAGAATCTTCACAGATGTATTCTCATGCAATTATTAAAAATCCCTTTTGACCCAGTGATTAATGGTGCACAAGCTCTGTCCTCTTTGGTATCATCTGCCCATCCAAATTCTTTGTGAGCATCAGATGCTGGAGAAGAACAGGAGCAGGCAGCTACTGCTGATGTGTGGGATGTGCACATTTTACCAGAGCATCTGGCTGTCAGAAAACAAACACTGAATTAACATGGGATTTGGTGTGATCAAACAAAACAACTTTCATAACAGCAACCTAGGAAAAGGGCAGGGGAGAGATAAGATGATAAAGCATATGTTTCCCCAGTAAAAACAAAAACCCCTTAGTCTGACATTGCCACAGCTTTGACAGGCATGGGTTCACTGAAAGCTAGCAGAGTGTCCTGATTAAGAGCTTGGGCATTAGCACAGCAGGCTTGTACTCAAAGCCTCTTTCACTGGCAAATCTTCCCACCTGGCCCCAGCTCACATGCTGGTGGCTGTTCTGTGGACAATATGAAGCAGGATAACATGAGTATTGCTCAGATCCCCTCAGATGAAGGCTAGAAAATGTAATCACTTAACAGATGGGACAATGGCTAGATACCCAGTGGTTTACAACCTTTGGGCTTCTATATATTTTTTGGACTTCAGCTCCCAGAAGCTCTTGCTGACATTGTCAGTGGTCAGGAATTCTGGGAGTTAAAGTCAAATAATCTGGAGGGGCAGAAGTCAAGAACCCCTGGGTTAAAATGCATTACAAATTATTAGGAATGGGAGAAGTAATCAGTTCTGTTTTCTCCTGTGTTTAGACCTTTCAGACCTCAAATTCTGTGTGTCCCAAATATGTGAGTTAAAAATGTTGGGAACTATTTCTTCAACAATCATCCAAAAAGACAATTTCAGCCATAGGGGTCAGCCAAATTTAAGAAGTACCCGAGACCGTTATTCCTTGCATGGAGAGAACTACGTATGTTGTGCTACCACTGAAGTTGAGGAAATTCTCAGAAGAATTAAAAAGTCATGGCAACCATCATTCAGTATGAACCTGGTTGAAAACACCAGGATTCAAACCCTTATTTTTAAAAGTTAGAAGTGAAGTAGTCAAAGCCCTAGATGGGCAAATCTGTCTGTCTGTATTTATTCTATGTTTCATTTCTCTCTCTCTCTCCCGTATTCTTTCTTGAAGGTAGCAGGAAAAGAGGAAGAGGGATTGACTCTCTAAAGGGACCCACCGGTTTGAGTTTGCAAGAGCTGAGCAGGACTGCTGACAGCTTGAGTTTGCAAGATCTGAGCAGGACTGCTGACGACAGGATATTTGGGAGATCACTCATTCATAGGGTGGCCATACGTCGGAAGTGTCTTGATGGCATGTAACGACATATTTTTTCTATTGCAAATACGAATAAGTGCGTGAATTTGCAGGGAATTCTTACCAAAATGCCTTGACACCAAATTGTTTCCTATTCTATTCTAGGGCATGTGGGGAGGGCTTTTGGATAGATGTCTTAACGAAGGAGGAATGGACAATAGGTAGCTTGGGATCTTTTTTTTTTTTTTGATCCTTAGATGATTCACAGTGGATCAACACCTGCTTTTAGCTCCAACTGGTTTAACGATGGCAACAACAAAAGTCCCGCCCCCCGCCAAACCCACACACAAATTAAGCTGCAGGTATCCAGAAAGCTTAGGATGAAACCAGTAGTAAGTGTACCTGCAAAAGAATTGATGTGAACATGCTGCTGGTCTAGTGTATAAAACAAGTGCATGAAACCCGGGGCCCAGTAGTTCTGTGTTTGCCTGCTTGAACTACTGTGTTGCATCAGCTCCAGCTGGGTTTCTGAGTTTCCCATTCAAAGCGCTAATGAAGACTGCATAAAACTAATGTCTGCCAACTGCTGTTTTATACAGTATAAGGATGGCAAGACTTCACCTTCAGTTTGGTTTTGAAAACCCTACCAACATTTACTAAAGTCTTTGTGTTGGGGTGGCATGAAAATTAGAAATCCAGCGAGGGAGAAAACAAAACTGACAGGTTTCCCCATTCCACGTTCTGCTGGGAAAAGCTTTAAACCAGTGGTTCTTAACCTTTGTTACTCAGGTGTTTTTGAACTGCAACTCCCAGAAACCCCAGCCAACAGAGCTGATGGTGAAGTCTTCTGGGAGTTGCAGTCCAAAAATATCTGAGTAACAAAGGTTAAGAACCTTCAGTTTGGTTTTGAAAACCCTACCAACATTTACTAAAGTCTTTGTGTTGGGGTAGAATGAAAATTAGAAATCCAGAGAGGGAGAAAACAAAACTGACAGGTTTCCCTGTTCCCCGTTCTGCTGGGAAAAGCTTTAAATGACAGAAAATATTGACGTTTTCACAGCAGAGGTGGTGGTGAAGGCTTCTGGGAGCTGTAGTCCAAGAACATCTGGAGGCCCAAGGTTGGGGACTACTGCTTTAAATGACAGAAAATATTGTGAGGTTTTTACAACCTTGCATGCTGCCTGTGGTTGGAGAGATTGGGAGGGACTTTTCTGGGGCAATGGTCAAATTCTCGGCACTAACCAATCATTCATTCCCACCTCTGAATTCAAAGAGAGCCTCGCCTCTCTGCTAAATGTTCCTTTCCCTTTCTTTAGTCTGCTGTAAGTAAATTTGTTTGATGTTGATCTGTTCACAAAGTAACAAAGCATTTTTTATTCTTTCTCTTACAAATGTAAGAGAGTGAGTTACTGAGATCTTGAGTGCCAGTTAATGAGAAAGGGGTGAACTTGTAACTATTCTCATCTGTGTAAATCTGTGTACTTCTATTCTATAGCAAAAGGAATTATGCCAGAATTCCAAAAAAACTGCAACAGAAAATGCAGCAAGGGCAGAGCCTGGAAACCTTACTTTTTTGGACAAAATGGAAAGGATTTGAACCAGCCTTCCCTGACTCATCACTTTCTGGATGTCTTGGATTAATACAGTCCCCATGATTTCTTGTCTGGGCTGGAAAATACAGATTATCAGGGTTACATGTCAACCAGATGTGTGGTTCAAGGCTAGGGCGACCCACTATGGCCCTCCAGATGTTGCTGGACTACATTTCTCCACAACCCTAGCCAGCATAGTCAAAGGTGGGGGACGTTAGAAGCTGGAGTTGAACAACATTTGTGGGGCCATGCATTAACCTTATCGAGGTCCCAGAGACATCTACATTCAGCGCTGTCTCCCACTATACCTAACAAGCAATAGGTTCTCAGAGGGGTTTGGTTACAGCTCTTCTCATTTGAAGCCTTTCAGATTCTATCGAGGCTGCAAATGCCTTTGAATTTTCTTAAGAGAGAGACCAGAAACCTCCCCATCTTCACCTCTTCTTTTGAAACAACAATAGACCAAATAGCCCAGTGTCTTTTAGAAATCCTTCCTTCTCAAGAGGCATGGGGGAGGGAGATGATAAAAATAAAATAAAGAGGCCTGTTCGGCTCAGATGAGTACCATTGTGTCCCTTTATTTCTTTATTGGACTCTTAAGGGGGAAAGATTTTTTTTAAAAAGGAGAAGAGAAAGAGTTGTCCTAACAGAATCACTGTGCAGTTAAGATTTCTATAAGTGGAACTCAGCAGATCTCCTATTAGGGCCAATCAGTTTTGTTAAAAAGAGAATAGACAAAAGTTCTCAGTGCAAAACATGAAGTGAAGCTCTTTTATATACATAAAAAGAGAGAAGGGGGTTGTGGGGGAAAGCTGGATAAAAAGAATAAGCTGCAGTGGATTAATGTGACGACCCTGCAGAGTTTATAAGGAGGTCTCTAACCTCTGAAAGCATCCCCTGGTCCAGGAGTCCTTTCAGGCAGATAATAATGCAAGGTAGTTAAGCTGCTTCAGGGACAAAGCTACCACCAACACAGATTCTGGCCCTTTGTGACTAATCTCCCTGCGCCATTCACACACAAAAGGGTTTTTTTTTTCAAGATGCTGGTCATAATAACTGCATCTCACAAAAGGGAACAGAGCAGGATGGACTTCCAAGGGGCACCCAGGACCTTCCCATTGCCAGAATGGCATCACAGATCTTTGCCAAGGCCACCTTGACCGAACATCTCCTGGGAAGCGTAGGTCAGGTACAGGAAGCCATCTTCGTCCTTGTTGTCACGGTAAACCTCGGCGACGGTCAGGCTCAAGCAGGGCAAGCTTTTGCTGTCCACCAGCAGGTAGAAAGCTTGTGTGGCCGTGAGGGATAGGCGGGTTCTGGGAAAGGGAACAAAGGCATGTTCTAGTTAAAGTCAATGAGGAGAGAAAAGGACTGGTAGCTGGCATGGTGGTTAGCTAGACCGGAGGCGAGTCGGTGCTGTCATGGAACCGAAGCTTGTAGGGTCCATCATGGCCAGACTTCTGATTTGCAAAGACAATAAGATCGCATGCCATCTTGCCTCAGGCTTTCCATGGTGGCAGTTCTCAATGGGGAGAGAGAAGGAGAGGGAGGGAGGGAGAAAGAGAGAGAGAGATCCTTCCTTACTGTAACGCAAAATATTTCTGGAGTGGTGTTGTGGTGTTGAATGGGCATTTCGGATATATTAGCTTGACAAAAGACCTGTTCCTGAAGGACAGAACTGGTCCATTATATGAATCAAAAGATCTATCTTCCTGTTTAGACTAGAAGAGGGAATTTCTTAAGTGCTGCTTGAGTTTGATGATTGTAGCAGGAGCTTGTCTCTTGTTGTGTAACTTGCAAAATACTGTACCTTGTTTTGTGACTTCTCTTCAGGCCATAAACACATTTTTTCATGGCAAGACTGATTCCTCAGACCCTAAAGACTGCCCGAATCATGTCTCTTAAACACCGATGGCCCAGATCCTCTTGCCATTTAGCTTAGGTTTGCATAACATATCGCAGACAAATTGTCTGAGCACATATGAGTCATGTGCTTGGGCACACCTCTGATTGATCAAATGGGACACACCCTGCCCCCTTGTCAATTAGCTACAATTGGCCACAGAAAATTACATAAACCTTACATTAAGACCAATAGGATCACATTGTGGTTTTAGATTGGGTGATGGAATACTTGTATGTGTATCCCTGGGGAGTCCAGTCCCTTCCCTAAGAACTGGCCCATCCACTTATGAGTCACCATGTGGCACACGTGGTGAGCAGCATCCCATTTGCACCAATCATGGAAGTAGCCCAGCTGGCACTTTCCTGCCTCTCTGCACTGTTTACCATTCAGCAGCTGAGCGTGGAAATTTGTCATCCTGCCTCCTTGTTGGATTGGTCAGCAGCATGGGAAGCACCAGCTGGACTACTTCCACGATTGGATCCACGGGAATGCTGCTGGCCACATGAGCTGCACGGCAACCCATAAGTGAATGGGGAGGTTCGGAGTGGAGGGACTGGACTTCCCTGCCACCTGTGTCCACAATATTCATATTCGTATCCCCAGGAATACGAATATCCCATCTCTATGATTATGACATATAGTTTAGCCTTAAATGTGCACAGACAAAGAGACATCAACACAATCACTTCTCATCTATTATCAGCTGAACTGGGAGAAAACTTCTGTGGGTATTATGTTATCAGAGAAAAATGCACTAATGCCTTTCTCCTGCAACCCATTTTTGTAATAGCTGAAAATCCCTTCCTACCTCAGTGTGAAGATAAACTGAGATACGGATATATCTTCTGACACTAAGAATTTGATCCTGTCCAACCTGGGGAGGCTCTTCTCCTTCCGGTAACGCTCCACCACTACCTGTGAGTAGGAAAGCAAGGTACAGGTTGAAGGCACACAGGATAAGAGGCTCCGATGACTGCAGGAAGTGTAGAGTAAGCAACCCCCTAGATATTAATGAACTGTCATCATCTATACCTCACCATTGCCCATGCTGTTTGGGGCCGATGGGGACTAGAGTCCACCAAAATCTAGAAGGCCACAGGTTCCCTAACCTAGCACTATAGGATAGCCATACCTTATTTTCTAGTATGGGCAGCTCATGACCAACCGGGGCCCCCAAAATCATTGGGTAGAGGCATCTCTCTGCCTGGTCCACAAACCTTCCTTTGCTTATAAAGCAGTGGTTCTTAACCTTGGGTTTCTCAGGTGTTTTTGGACTGCAACTCCCAGAAGCCTTGGCCACCAGCTGTGCTGGCTGGGATTTCTGAGAGTTGCAGTTCAAAAACACTTGAGTAATCCAAGGTTAAAAACCACTGTTATAAAGTACCAGTACAAGCTAAACGGCATATTTTTGGTCCCTCTCTCATATAGTTCTGTGGCATTTGTGTACTTGTCATCACATCTGCAACAATCCTGCATATCCACTGCAGTGTTTTGACTTTTATATTACAGGCTGGTGGGAGACAGAATGAGGTTTGGTGGATTTCCAAAGCTATTCTCAAGATGATCGAACACAAATTTATAAAAGGAAGGGCTCCTGTGCCTTTAATATCTACATCAAAGAGGAAATTTAAGCCCATGTTTATTTAAATGGCAAGCTATACCTGCTGAAAATTTCCCCTCTCTCTCCCCCCAGCTATATAGGGGGGCAGAAGTTAGAGATGCAGATGAGACTGGTAGGGGTCCACATCTCTGTCTTTGTATAGCTTAAATGACTACATAATGATTCTAAAGGGTTCTTATTGATTGCATTTCTATAACACTCAATATTCCAAAGCTATCTGGGTTGTTTCACAAAGTCAAGGCTAAAACCATGAAACAGCAAACATTACAAAACATTGTAAAGATCTGAGACAAGTTCAAATAGCTCTTGATCAAGTCCCATCAAAGGAAGGAGATACAAAGCGATTGAAACCTCTCTCAGAAACAGAAGCCTTAATCCACTTGAAGCTTCATGCAGATGCTATGAAAACATGGGAAGAGATTCCCTGTCCTTGTCCTGGCAATACACCAAGCCAAGATGCCATAACCTCTGAGGACTTGAACAGTCGGTTCAGTGGTTTCTGCCGGTTCATCCTTTGGACAAACAGGTGTTTAGTGCTTTCCAGCCCTGCCTCCTCTGCTGGTAGACACCAACTCAGAGGCAGCACCCAGAGGAGGCGGAGAAGAGACACTGAGTGTGGCCTCTGAGTGGGCACCTGCCAGGGGAGGCAGGGCTGGGAACTACCATAACACCTGCTTGGCCGAAGAACAAAATGGCAAAAACTGCGGAATTGGCCATTTTCTCCCATCTCTGTTTGGGATGTATAACCACGATCTTCCATATATGGATGGACTGTCGGTCCCTCAATCTCTACAGAAATTGTAGGCATTAAGATAACATCTGGAGGGCCACACTTACTCTTACCTATATCAATAAGCAGGCACAGAAGACATAGGGAATCTTTTGACTTGCCAGGCTTTGTTAGAGTACAAGCCCCATCACCTTGTGGCCACTGGTTTTGTGGTCCATTAGGCTTTGGAGAGGGCACCCCAAAGAACTGCATCTCCAACAAAGAGCTAGGCCTCCCAAGAAGCACTAGGGCAATTTCCTTCTAGTGGTCCCGAACCTTGGGCCTCCAGATGTTCTTGGACTACAATTCCCAGAAGCCTTCACCACCACCTCTGCTGGCCAAGATTTCTGGGAGTTGAAGTCCAAGAACATCAGGAGGCCCAAGGTTGGTGACCACTGCTGTACAGGACGTAAGCCTGAGACAGCCTGGAAGACATACATGGTTCCAGGGGAGTGAAGTGTCAACATTATATTTAGCTTTATTGCTTTGCATTTTATTTCCCTCCTCCCTTTATTTTGTAGACCAAGGAGTTCCCAACTATGAGGTAGGATTAAAGTGTCATATTATAATAGATAAATATGATGATGATATTTCACTTCCATAGGAAAACTGTAGTAGAAGATACCAGCCTACCTTTAATTGATCACCCACAGCTTCCTGATAAAGATGTTGCCTCAGGAAGACCAGAACTGGCAAACATGTGCTTTAGCCCTGTTATTGGACTGCCAATTCCCATCAGCCTGTAGCCAGCACAGTCAGTGGTGTAGAATGATGGCAGATATAGTTTAGGAACAGCTGAGGGGCACACGTTCCCCAGTTCTGATTGAGCAACAGTGAGGCACTTCCTGAAGGCAGAAACTTCAAGAAATGCAAGTTGAAACTCCTGTTTGGTTAAGAAGGCCACTGGATGCCTGGACCCATCACCTTCTCTTAATATACCTCAGAGGCATATTTGTGGGCAAATAAAAGTGGAATACTCTTGCATCATACTTAACATTCCTTCAGAAAATGGGTGCGGCTGCTCCAACTATCTGACCCCCACTTGTGTTTACAGTGAGATGGACTCAATGAAAACTTTCAGGGGTTTTGGATTACCTCTCCTATAATCCTCGACCACTACAATGGCTGAAGCAGATGTTGCTGCTCAAAAATGCCTGGAGGCTACCAGCTTGCCAACCCTGTTTCCAGACTTTAACCCCTTGATATTATTGGACTGCAGCTCCCAAAAATTCTCAGCCAACATGAGCATGACTGTGTCCATTCTGAGCGTTGTAGTGCAAAAACTTGGGGGGAGGGTGTTCAACTTTTAAATTTTAAATTAAATTATTTTAATTAAATAGTATTCCACATGAGCAGCAGGATTTATTAATATCAATGTTTTAATGATTGTTTTAAATATAGGATATTACTATAATATTGCCTATTTTTTAATGGTTTTAATGTTTTTAAAGTTTTTATATTGTTGTACGCTGCTCAGACCACTGGTAGCTAAAAAATCTTGTAAATAAATAAATAAATTTTTACACTGTAAAATCTAGAATTGGGCAGCTGTGGCCCTCCAGATGTTGTTGAATTATAGTTCGCATCAGGGCTACCTAGGAAAGGGACATTAAAGGTGCTGCAGCCCATCTAGAGAGCCAGAATTCCCCACTCCTGCCTACAGTTTTCATAAGTGGTGGCAACAAGGAGGTCAAGACTGTGCTCTTGAATTCCAAAGCAAAACAAAGCAAAAACCAGCTAGCCTTTTCTTCCAAGGTAAGAGAAAATAAAGGAGTTTTACCGGGATCTTGTTTGGATACCTTGCCCGAATGTCACTTGCTTCATGCATCCGAGTTGCTAAAAACAGGGAAAAGTCAGAAGTCAGTTGGTGTAAAGAATGGGACGTGAAATCCCTAGAATCTCAGTTTAGGAAGAGTCCATCACTCTTGAGATATACCCTACCAACGCTGAATCCTTTCTCCTCCCTGTAACACTGGAACATTGCTTGGCATCCATACCAACGCTGAATCCTTTCTCCTCCCTGTGACACTGGAACATTGCTTGGGATCCACTAATTGTGTCTACCCAAGGGTCTCTTCAAAAGCCTTGTTTCACCAGCAGAACTGAGTAACCCAAGGCTAAGAACCACTGCACTAAGTAATTGTGTCAACCCAAGGGTCTCTACAAAAGCCTTGTTTCACCAGCAGAGTGTAAGAATGAGTAGATCTGAACATGCTTTCACGACAGAAGGATAACAGCTTGCTGCAAATGGAGGAGAGAGGAAAAGCTGGTCTTGATAGTTTAGAAAGGGTTAAGAACACCCAGGATTTTCCCTTAGTATGAGTACAACATAAAGATCAAGTGTAAGAATGAGTAGATCTGAACATGCTTTCATGACAGAAGGATAACCAGCTTGCTGCAAATGCAGGAGAGAGAGGAAAAGCTGGTCTTGATAATTTAGAAAGGGTTAAGAACACCCTGGAATTTTCCCTAGTATGAGTACAACATAAAGATTTGAAATGCGTTTTCAACACCTTCATGTTAGACAGAGAAGCACATCCAGTATCAAAGCCAAAAGGCCAGGAAATGCTTTTGCCTTTTAACTCTGGCTTGCCATACAGCTGTTATAAGAGCCAGCACAGAGTGCAGTGGTGTTTTGTAATCAATTACCTTTTTTGGGTAATTACTAATGCATAACAAAGTTCCCTTAGCACCTGTGAACTTAATGAAGGATAAATTTATTCCTTTGCATGGCAACTTCAAACTATATTTGTTTTTATGCTGGGGTGGGGGGGTTACATTATCACTATCACCTGATTCAAGTACCAGGTCAGGCTCTTTGGTAGGTGTTGAAGTAAACAGCATTCAGACTTTTTAAAAAAGTAGTAACTAAAAGCAGTGAATTTAGTTCCTTGGAGAAACAGAAAGGAGATTCTTTTAAAAAATGCACTTGGATGCTTTTCAGGTCTTGAAACAACACTTGTTACTAATTACTTTTAGTAAACTACAGCTCAAACACCACCCAAGCAGCTGCAATTCCCTCCAAAAGCTGGAGAGAGAGAGAGCACTGGATTTTCCTAGCAATAATATAATCAGTATCCGCTATTTGTCATAATACAAAGTCTCTAGGGCCTTAGTGGGCAATTAAGTCCCAATTGCCTGGCAAAAGTCCTCCTCCTGGCAGCAATAAGAATTGACAGTTCTAATTGGTCATTAGGGATTAAGACCCTGCTGCCTGCAGATTTAAACTGCCCATAAAGGCATGGTTGTGAAAACCTGCAGAGTAACAGCTGCTCTGCAGAATTTACCCCTACACCACTGGACCCAACATCAATGTCTACTCATGTTGTTTCTCCACACTTTAAAGAATCCACATGCCAATATTTCCCACAACGCTGCTGGGCAACAGTCATCAGAATGCAGACGGTTTGGGAAGAGGTGGGACATTATAGCACAAAAGAAAGAAGGAAGGAAGATCAGAATGTCAAATATAGAGTGAAAGAAGTTCCTTCTACCACACATCACCTGGCACAACCCTCAGTACTTTTACCTAAATTCTTCCTCTGCTTGAAGGGGCGAAAATCACTTTGACTCCTTTGCATCTCTGGAAGAACAGTCAATAACAAAACAAACCACACCCTAGAAGAAAGACAAGAACCTCCAACCAACCTCTTCAGTTGCCTCTGCATAATATAAGCTCACCTGTTCAGGACTAGGGGGTGGAGCTTTCCTGAGGCAGAATGATTGGCACCTGGTTCTGGAACTGAAAGTAAGTACAGTTACAGGAGGGGAAGCCTACAGTGCTGCACAGTGTGTTGGGGTAAATTCCCTTTGCTGGTGGCATTGGGGTGGAATGGCTAGAGCAGGTGGGTGAGTTGGCCTTCCAGCTGTTCCTGGACTCTGGCTCTTCCATACTTGGCTAGTTTGGCTGGGGCTAATGGGAGTTGTAGTCCAACAGCGAAGGGAAATCCACAGGTTGCCTTTCCTGGCTATGCGTATTTGTTGAAAGCTGCAATTCAAGCCTAGCATTCAATTCTCAGAAGTGCAGCTGAATTTAGTGGGGCTTACTCTGAGTAAATGTATTTACAAATGCAGACTTAAGGAGACTTCTCTGATTTCCAAACATGCTTCATACCTGCAGCAGCAAATGCAGGCTACTCTGGAGTACAATACAGTAAATGCTTGCTTTGATCCAAATAGCAAAACAGAGGAGAGTCTATCAATGTGGAGCAACCAGCAGCTTGTAATTAGAACAGATAGAACAAGCAGCAGAGTGTTTTTCTTTGCAGTTGTAGCAAGCTGGCAACTGTGATGTCAATGCAGGATATGCTCAGCCCATAGGGCAGGGGGTGGGAAGCTTGCCAGCATCCAGGTTGTGCTACATGAGGACTCTGATCACTCCTGATCATTGGCCAAGGTGGCTGGAGAGCATGGCAGTTGGAGTCCAGCAACATCTGCAGGGCCATAGTATCCCCAGTAGAGATGGGCGTATTTGTATTCATATACAGATACAAATACCCCTGCACAGGTGGAGATAACAAGCGTCCGGCTCCATGGGGACAGACAGTCCACTCATCAATGCGCTAATGCCGTGGGTTTTGCGCTCCCATCCTGTCGTGCTGGAAATCGCATTCAACTCAGCGACCTTATGCTGCACAACTAGAGGAATTCACCAGGAATTCAAAACCTTGCAACTTTTCTTCCAACCTTGCTGAGCCTGATGCAGTACCACTTCCATTTCCAATAGCATTGGGCATGGTCTTGCATAAAGGAAGGCATCAAAATCTAAACAAGGCTTAGTAAGCAACAGTAATTATTGAAGGGTGGCTGCTAATCATGTCGGTCCTCATAGCTTCACCATGAAGGGGAGTCCAAAAATCCATATCAACAAACAAGTTCTAGTAGTTTTAACCTCTGCCAGGGGCAGTTCTCTTACCAGATTGGCAGATCCTAATTGCCAATCTACCCTCAAAATATTTTAAATCATAAAAGAGTTAGCTCACAATAGGAAAATCCATGTTGCGTGGAAAATCCATTTGTCCTCCAGTTTTTGTGAGGATTTCAGCAAAGATCAGAAGGAACGGGGAAGTAAGGTGGAGAGTTCATGTCATCATCCTTGTTAATTAAAAGAAAACCTTAGTGTTTTGACTTTATCAGCCAGTGGTCCCCAGATGTTCTTGGACTAAAACTCCCAGAAGCCTTCGCCGCTTGCTGTGCTGGGCCACGATTGGGAGACTTGTATTATAAGCCCTCATTCTGGGAACTAGGTTGCTCTCGAAGTGGGTAACTACTGCTATAAGCGCTCATTCTGCCACACTCTTGGCGCATCTGCTACTCTAGGTCTAATTATTTGGAAAAAAAGGGCCACTCTATTGATTCTCTGAGTAGTCATGCCAGGTTCTGTCAAGCATCGATACTATGAGAGAAGAGAAAGGTTCTTAATGAAATCCACGACCCCTGTGTTATGATACCTCCCCCCCATTCTTTTAGCCCTGATCCTAGCAAAATCAGCAGCTGGGCACTAGCCAGACCAGACCATCATGTTTTTCACCCTTGCGTATTCCAGTATAGCCAATTGTACGCTTAAGCAAAGTGGCTACTCTCACTCTCTCTCTCTCTCTCTCTCTCTCTCTCTCTCTGTATGTGTTTTATAAGTTCACTATTAATTTTGGAGCATCCTGGGAGAGTTTCTGAGAATTATTAAATGATAGAGATGGAGACAGCGAAATATTGTCCAAGAAATGAAAAGAGGGTCTCTAGACACGGATGAGGGTTCAATATTTTATTGCTTTTCGTATGTCCCCAAATCAATGCGCAGAAAATCGGGTGGAAGGTTGGAAATGTGAGGTGAGAGAAGGAGAGAGCAGGAGGGGAGTTGCCACAGCAACAGCAAAAGTTCATTAACAGATTTGATCGCATACACATGCACCCACCCCAGACTGGGGAATGAAGGATGCACTGGCTACTCTACACACTATGTTAAATGCATAACTTGGAACTGCTTCTCTCCCTCTCTCTGACTCTTCTTACTTCAGAATAAATGTACATGGGCCTTTTCTGGGTCAGGACTACTCCGTGCAAGTAATTAAGTATTAAACCTTCATCTCCACCCATTTTTCATCCAATATTCCTTTAATATTCCTGGATTCTCTTTCAGGGGAGCAGCCTTCAGTTCCACTCGTGGGAGAAAACTGGCTCTACATTGAAAGACTGGAAGAACAAGGATAATCAGGGGATGGAAAACCAAGCCCTAGGAGGAGGAAAGACTGGAAGAACCGGGCATGTTTAGCCTTGAGAAAAGAAGACTGAGGGGAAATAGGACAGCGCTCTTCAAATACTTGAAAGGTAATCATACAGAGGAGGGAAAGGGTCTCTTCTCGATCCTGCTTGTAAGCGAAGTTGTGTTTAACTGCTGACTTAATCATAAAGCCAAATAAACTGATTTGCAAACGATAAGAAAGCTCCTGAAAGGGTCATCAGAAATTTTCAGGAATTCTTTCTTCTAATTGCGGGTTGTTGGGCAGCAATATTGTTATTTCTGTTTGCAAAGTATATTTTAGGAATGTGCCACTTGATTTTTTGGGGGCTCCAACTCTGGAATTCTTCAAGAATTCCCCAGACAGAATTCTGGGAGGTCTAGCCCACAGACTTACAGTGTCAAATAGACCTACATTTTGCTCACCTGGAGAAGCACCTAGCTCCAGCCTGGCTTCCTGTTAAAAAAAACCAGAATCTGCCTTTTGTGGTTCCCAAACTTGGGTAACTGAGGTGTTAACATAAGAAGAGCCCTACTGGATCAGGCCAAGGGCCCGTCTAGTCCAGCTTCCTGTATCTCACAGTGCCCCACCAGATGTCTCTGGGAGCACACGAAACAACCAGATACCTGTCTCCTGGTACCCTTCCCCAGCATCTGACATTTTGTTCTTGGACTGCCGTTCTCAGAAGACTTCACCACCAGCTCTGTTGGCTGGGGTTTCTGGGAGTTGCAGTCCAAGAACACCTGGCTTATGCAAGGTTGGTAATCACTTCTATAACGGGTACACCTAGTGCGCTTGAGGTGCCATGCATGACTTTAATCACCCTCATTTTCCCCCCTCAGAATAACCCTGTGAGGTAGGACAGGCTGAGAAACAAGGGCTGGTCCAAGATCACCCAGTGAGTTTGTTGTGAGATCTAGGCCTACTGGAAACTTCTCAAGTCTCAGTTCAGCACTTTAACCTGCAGCACCACACTGACTATCTGAGTGTATAAGGATGTTACTATTTTATTTTCCCACAGCGCCCCGGATTCATGCTACATTTTGGAATACTGAGCATAGTAGGACCCCCTTATCCAGGGGATCATTATCGACTGATTCACTTAACCATGTTCTGAAAATCTTAAAAATATTGAAAGAAAAATCTCCCAAATATATATACTGTATTTTAAAATGAAGTTACCAGAGGGAGACAGAGACCATACCATGTTTAGCCTTCAGTGTTCTGCTGTTTTCAGCATCCGCTGGGGCGGAGGTTGGAACCAATTCCCTGTGGATATAGGGATCCTACTGTAATTTTAAAAGGGATTATTTTCATCAGCTTCTTTGGACTGCCAGATCTTGCCAGTGGGGCTGCAGTGTAAGAGATGACCCAGCAGAGAGCGACTAGCATAATATATCTGTATTTTAAAGAGGTGGTTTAGCAGACCTTGTGGCTGAGGAGTCATAATTGCAGATGATGACTCTGTTTTCCTCTTGGTGACCAATCATAAAACAAAAGCAAGCTGACTTGCAAACCACTGGTTGCTGTTCTATCTTATGGGGAAAAATTTAAAACTGTTTCTCTGAGCTGCAGTGTGCTCTCTGGGCAGTAAATTCCATTGAAACTGGTGAGACTTGTTTTTGAGTAAAAGTGGTCATGATCCTGGAAGCAAGGCCCTCGTGCTTTGCCTAGAGTTTCTGGATGTTTGCAGTCATTCATCTTCTACAAGTTTTGTCTGTATTTTTCTTAAGAGACATGAAATCCCAGTGGGTAACGCATAAATATCACATGAATGATGAATCACTGATTATATATCCGCCACAGTGATGAATTGAATTAAGCGAAATGTCTTTGGTGGATAGTGCTGTGTCACCGTGATGCAAGGCAGAAATGTTTCCCTTGGTGCAGGTGACTGGCGGACTGGATTATGCAAAGAGTAGGGGGCAAGGGAAAGAAGCCCACCCTCCAAAGAAAATTACAGGGAAATTGGAAAACTGCCCTTTTTAAGAGCCTTTGTGTGTGTGCACAGTAGAACTTAAAGTTGTTCAATAATCAGTCAGTTTGTGCAAGAGAAGGCTAATTCTGTGAGTGGAGCCAGGGATAAAGCAATAGACTCCTTGAACGACATATTTCAGGTGGGAGACCCATGCAAGTGCAGAACCTATGCAAGCTTTCTGCTTCATCCCAGCAACATCACCCCCTGAGGCATTCTTTGACCTAGGATACCTGCATGTCCTCTATTTCAGGAGGAGTCTAGCATTTCCAGGTTGCAGGGTGTCCCCAGGTCTCCAGGCAGAAGGACACATTTCAGTTGACTGCCACCTGAATGAGATTGGTCTTTTGGGTGTGCGGGAGGGTGGCTTTAAATCCTGGGCATCTCTCTTTGCCCATTTTCAGCTGACACCAGGACTCGCAGGCACAGTG